ATGGACGCTAACTAGCAACAGTTATATGGTAGGACTGGTTTATACATGGACGCTAACTAGCAACAGTTATATGGTAGGACCGTGGTTTAGACATTATAAAAAGACCAGAACAAATTATGCAACTCAAGTATTTTTTTTTTACATGACCAAACAGTGAAGCTTAAATACAGTTAAAGAAGAATGTTTTTATGAAGGAATTAAATTTGATTCAAGGAATTGTTTTATAGATAAACACTCGTAAAAATGTAGTTATTAAATAATAGGAATGCTTTAAAACATGGAAATATCAGCCAAAATTATGACATGGAATTAGTTCATGCATGGAAGCCAAATGGAATGATAAAATGAAAGGAAACTAGTGAATACTGAAGGTGATGCCTTCGATCTATCAGTCTGCTTGCTACCTTTCTCCCTCTGGTTCCTTGAAGTGTCTTTGTGTCAGAAAATTCCCATAAGCGCTCCATCCCCATCTTCAGTAACAAGCACAGATTCCAAGTCCAATGGCACCAGTGACAATCTATTTATCCGTCTCACCTTTGTCTTGTGTACTGAACTTCGACCAGACACCCGGATATTCTATCAAAGCACTATTCCCCTCATACCGTAATGATCTACTTGTTCCTCTGCAGTTCACTCACTCCCAAAAGGCCCTTACAACATAAAGCCTGTCATGCATCAATTCGCCACCAGTCAGTCTATCTGTCTGTTTGCTTCCCAAAATACATGTATGATCTAAAAAAAAATATCCAAAAAGATGCTAACTATATGGAATCTCTGAAGCAGTGCTTGCCACTCTGCACAGAGCATACCTGTCTTCACCTTTCTCAACATGCTGTGTGAGTCAGTTACCTTTACGACAAGTGTGTATGCTGTTTCTCAACATGCTGTGTGAGTAAGTTACCTTTATGACAAGTGTGTCTGCTGTTTCTCAACATGCTGTGTGAGTCAGTTACCTTTACGACAAGTGTGTCTGCTGTTTCTCAACATGCTGTGTGAGTCAGTTACCTTTATGACAAGTGTGTCTGCTGTTTCTCAACATGCTGTGTGAGTCAGTTACCTTTACGACAAGTGTGTCTGCTGTTTCTCAACATGCTGTGTGAGTCAGTTACCTTTACGACAAGTGTGTCTGCTGTTTCTCAACATGCTGTGTGAGTCAGTTACCTTTACGACAAGTGTGTATGCTGTTTCTCAAGCCAGCGGAAGGCTGCAGTGATGTTATCAGAATTGTGCCAGGCGCCTTTACTTCCACATATAGATTCTAGTACTCACAGCTGGGACAATCTTGGAGCCCAAATTGAGTTTGCCATTTTACAAACTGATCAAAATTATGTCCTGAACTGGTATGTGGTGCCCCATCTTGTGTGAGACAAACTGATCAAAATTATGTCCTGAACTGGGATGTGGTGCCCCGTCTTGTGTGAGACAAACTGATCAAAATTATGTCCTGAACTGGGATGTGGTGCCCCATCTTGTGTGAGACAAACTGATCAAAATTATGTCCTGAACTGGGATGTGGTGCCCCATCTTGTGTGAGACAAACTGATCAAAATTATGTCCTGAACTGGGATGTGGTGCCCCATCTTGTGTGAGACAAACTGATCAAAATTATGTCCTGAACTGGTATGTGGTGCCCCATCTTGTGTGAGACAAACTGATCAAAATTATGTCCTGAACTGGGATGTGGTGCCCCGTCTTGTGTGAGACAAACTGATCAAAATTATGTCCTGAACTGGGATGTGGTGCCCCATCTTGTGTGAGACAAACTGATCAAAATTATGTCCTGAACTGGGATGTGGTGCCCCATCTTGTGTGAGACAAACTGATCAAAATTATGTCCTGAACTGGGATGTGGTGCCCCATCTTGTGTGAGACAAACTGATCAAAATTATGTCCTGAACTGGGATGTGGTGCCCCATCTTGTGTGAGACAAACTGATCAAAATTATGTCCTGAACTGGGATGTGGTGCCCCATCTTGTGTGAGACAAACTGTTCAAAATTATGTCCTGAACTGGGATGTGGTGCCCCATCTTGTGTGAGACAAACTGATCAAAATTATTTCCTGAACTGGGATGTGGTGCCCCATCTTGTGTGAGACAAACTGATCAAAATTATGTCCTGAACTGGGATGTGGTGCCCCATCTTGTGTGAGACAAACTGATCAAAATTATGTCCTGAACTGGGATGTGGTGCCCCATCTTGTGTGAGACAAACTGATCAAAAATTATGTCCTGAACTGGGATGTGGTGCCCCGTCTTGTGTGAGACAAACTGATCAAAATTATGTCCTGAACTGGGATGTGGTGCCCCATCTTGTGTGAGACAAACTGATCAAAATTATGTCCTGAACTGGGATGTGGTGCCCCGTCTTGTGTGAGACAAACTGATCAAAATTATGTCCTGAACTGGGATGTGGTGCCCCATCTTGTGTGAGACAAACTGTTCAAAATTATGTCCTGAACTGGGATGTGGTGCCCCATCTTGTGTGAGACAAACTGATCAAAATCATGTCTTGAACTGGGATGTGGTGCCCCATCTTGTGTGAGACAAACTGATCAAAATTATGTCCTGAACTGGGATGTGGTGCCCCATCTTGTGTGAGACAAACTGATCAAAATTATGTCCTGAACTGGGATGTGGTGCCCCATCTTGTGTGAGACAAACTGTTCAAAATTATGTCCTGAACTGAGATGTGGTGCCCCATCTTGTGTGAGACAAACTGATCAAAATTATGTCCTGAACTGGGATGTGGTGCCCCATCTTGTGTGAGACAAACTGATCAAAATTATGTCCTGAACTGGGATGTGGTGCTCCATCTTGTGTGAGACAAACTGATCAAAATTATGTCCTGAACTGGGATGTTGTGCCCCGTCTTGTGTGAGACAAACTGATCAAAATTATGTCCTGAACTGGGATGTGGTGCCCCGTCTTGTGTGAGACAAACTGATCAAAATTATGTCCTGAACTGGGATGTTGTGCCCCGTCTTGTGTGAGACAAACTGATCAAAATTATGTCCTGAACTGGGATGTGGTGCCCCATCTTGTGTGAGACAAACTGATCAAAATTATGTCCTGAACTGGGATGTGGTGCCCCGTCTTGTGTGAGACAAACTGATCAAAATTATGTCCTGAACTGGGATGTGGTGCCCCATCTTGTGTGAGACAAACTGATCAAAATTATGTCCTGAACTGGGATGTGGTGCCCCGTCTTGTGTGAGACAAACTGATCAAAATTATGTCCTGAACTGGGATGTGGTGCCCCATCTTGTGTGAGACAAACTGTTCAAAATTATGTCCTGAACTGGGATGTGGTGCCCCATCTTGTGTGAGACAAACTGATCAAAATCATGTCTTGAACTGGGATGTGGTGCCCCATCTTGTGTGAGACAAACTGATCAAAATTATGTCCTGAACTGGGATGTGGTGCCCCATCTTGTGTGAGACAAACTGATCAAAATTATGTCCTGAACTGGGATGTGGTGCCCCATCTTGTGTGAGACAAACTGTTCAAAATTATGTCCTGAACTGAGATGTGGTGCCCCATCTTGTGTGAGACAAACTGATCAAAATTATGTCCTGAACTGGGATGTGGTGCCCCATCTTGTGTGAGACAAACTGATCAAAATTATGTCCTGAACTGGGATGTGGTGCTCCATCTTGTGTGAGACAAACTGATCAAAATTATGTCCTGAACTGGGATGTTGTGCCCCGTCTTGTGTGAGACAAACTGATCAAAATTATGTCCTGAACTGGGATGTGGTGCCCCGTCTTGTGTGAGACAAACTGATCAAAATTATGTCCTGAACTGGGATGTTGTGCCCCGTCTTGTGTGAGACAAACTGATCAAAATTATGTCCTGAACTGGGATGTTGTGCCCCGTCTTGTGTGAGACAAACTGATCAAAATTATGTCCTGAACTGGGATGTGGTGCCCCATCTTGTGTGAGACATCAGCTACTGATTGTTGGGTGTGTGTTTGGAGTTGAAACTTAAATTCTAAACTTGTATCAGTTTGTCAGAAGCAAAGGGCGCCTGGCATACATAACATTTCATACATAACAGATGGAACAAGTTTTAACACGCAGAACATATAGTTATAACAACAAAAACAGATAAATTTTAACACATACAACATTATTTTTATAACAAGAACAGCTGGGATAAGTATTAACACAGAAAATATAACAAGAACAGATAGAATAAGTTCTAACACATAGAACATATATTTATAACAAGAACTGGTGGAATAAGTTCTAACACATAGAACATATATTTATAACAAGAACTGGTGGAACACATAGAACATATATTTATAACAAGAACTGGTGGAATAAGTTTTAACACATAGAACATATATTTATAACAAGAACTGGTGGAAAAAGTCTGAACATAGTTAAAAATTTCAGTTAGAGAGGATCTATTGAGTATCATCAAGGATAAGTGCTATGAGGATATCATTCAGGTAGAAGATATAAAAGTCATTTTAGGGAGAGGAAAAAAAAAAGCACCAGGACCAGACCGGGATGTGGGTAATGAAGACCTGAGGGATATGGCCTCTTCCTTCAATCAGAACAGCATCAGCACCTAACAGATGGGTGCACAGCTATTTAATCCCACTCCCAAAACCAGGCAATGATTACACAGCAGCTTAAGGATTATCACTCTACAGAATATGCTCGGCAACGTGCTAGAGGTGATCATTGCTGTTAAACTGCAGGCTTTTTTTATAAAAGGATGAGCTCTAGGTAGTTACTGGCTATGGAAAGAAACCTGGTAACCTTTGCTTTTGACGTTTATGAGGTGTTTCATGAGACAGTAGTGGCAGCAGTTGATCTGGAGTATGTCTACATCAGAGTTAGATATGATACTCTTATTATGATGTCCACCCTTATAGTGAAGAGAGTTTGTCCCTGGGTAGCAGCAGCTCTTCATCTTGCCCTTCATCTGGATATGACGTGTCTTGTTCATACTTCTGTTCACTTGACTTGGGGAGATTGATGCAGTCTAGTTAGAATCTGGTGAACAATAACATCATTTTATGAATCACTAAAAAATTCTAGAAGGGAACAGAGCAGAGAGAGAGAGAGAGACCAGGAGAGAAGTTGTTGCTTTGTTTGGCATCACTGTAAGGAAGAACATTTGTCTCAGAAATGATTGACAGTTCGTGTGATGGAAGACTGTGGACAGATATCATTATTGCTGCATGGTAGGGGCTATTTGGAAAGAAAAAAGGGGGAAGACAAAATTCAACAATCCATTTTTTAATATTAAAACAATGTCCACAGATAAAACTGCACCTCATCCTAAAATAACAATAGACAAAACTGCATCTCATCCTAAAATAACAATAGACAAAACTGCATCTCATCCTAAAATAACAATAGACAAAACTGCATCTCATCCTAAAATAACAATAGACAAAACTGCATCTCATCCTAAAATAACAATAGACAAAACTGCATCTCATCCTAAAATAACAATAGAAAAAACTGCACCTCATCCTAAAATAACAATAGACAAAACTGCACCTCATCCTAAAATAACAATAGACAAAACTGCATCTCATCCTAAAATAACAATAGACAAAACTGCACCTCATCCTAAAATAACAATCTAGGGTAAGAAAATTGAAAATGTCACAAATTGGAACATCTGTCTATCGATTGTCTTTCTCTGCTTAATACAGTTAGGTGTCGCAGGTACAGCTAATGTTCAGTTTTTGGGATAGTGCATGTTCATTAGCTTGCTGCATGGTGTTCAAACCATTTCAGTCTTTGTTTTTCAGATTTAATTACAGGTGTTGTTCCCACCATTCTAATGATATTTTTGTTTCATTTATTGGCTTTTCTTGTTATGTAGATAACTCTGTTGGATTGCTGGATTCTGGACTCAATCTTTCTGTCCAGTCTGCCGTTTGGCGTGAAGATATTTCCAACATATTGGCATTTGCCCACCTGTTTTAGTGAATGTTTGTTCATTTTTATGTCGACATTCTGATGTTCCTTGTTTATGTACATGATTGCTGTTTTTAAAAAAAATGTTGATCTTCATATTGTTCTTGAGACATTAGTGTATTCCTGTATTTGTTCAGTTTTATGGTAGAATATGCACTGATCATCTGCAAAGAGCAGCTCGCTAAAACAGTTTTGTTGTCGTTAGTGTGTGCTGTTTCTTTGATTTTGGTGATAATCTGTATATAAATGACAATCTGTATAAAAATGACAAAGAGCAAGGGTGATAAAACACATCCTTGTCTCACTCTGGATGTTACTAGAAACCAGACTGGGGTTCCAGCTTTTGTTCTTGTGGCACTTTCACTTCCACGATACGTGGCTCTTGTACATCTAACAATGTAACTTTTATCCCATAATTTTCAAGAACTTCTTCTTCTCTTCTACCATTTACCTTATCAAGGTGTTGGGGGAAGATGTAAAGATGGTTTGTGCTCTTTTTCCAATGTACAAGTTGGTGTTCAGTTCCTTTAGGTTGCTCCTGATGATGTCTCTCTAACGCTTGCATGTCTTCTCCTTGCTCTGTGTTCATTATATTTCTTCAGCGTGTCTCTCTGTGGCAGTTGGTACCAGGGCATTCTCGTCTGATGACAAAACCATCTTATTTGTTGTACTTAAATGACCTGTATGACTGGTTTCAGTCATCATCAGGTGCCTTGCCGACTGGCCTGGGCGATCATGCCTCTCCATAATCTGCGATCTCCTGCAGCATGTATCAGTTCGTGTGCCGACACACCTCCATGCCATGCAACAAGACTGTCAAGAATCTTCTCTCGTTGTCTTCCTCTATCCCTCCTTCCACAGATCTTCCCAGCGGTCACAACATGTTCTATTTTCCCTCTTCTCATAACATGGCCGAAAAATGATGACTGTCTCCTTCTGATGTCTGTGATAAGTTGTCTTCGGGCTCCCGCCTCTTTCAAAACCTCTTGGTTGTTTTTGGCTGTCCAAGGTATTCTAAACATTCTTCTGTAAAACCACATCTCTGAGGCCTCAAGAAATTGTTTGGCCTGCCTACCGATTGTCCAGGATTCACGGCCATATGTTAAAACTGGATGTATGTAGCAAGCAAGAATTCTTTTTTCTAACTCTCAATGACAAAGATATATTGCATAAGATATTCTTTATTTTATAAAATGCAGTTTTTGCCTGTCCTATTCTGTTTCAGTCCTAGCCTTCTTAAAAATTCTTCATTCTTGATTTTATCTCTTCTTGTCACACCGGCAGCTCTCCTAAGACATCTCACCTCTGTTGTTACGATCTTCTGCTCATTAGTTATAGCTAGGGTCCATGTTTGGCACTGGTAGCACAATGTTGGCCAAAAATGAGATTTTGTTTGGTTGACAGAGGTATCTTTGTCAGAAGCAGTGATAATTGTCCTATAACTTGATTTGCTTTTGCACATCAGATGTTTATTTCTCTATCCATTCTTCATTCTGAGGTGAAAAATGATCCTAGATATTTAAATTTGCTCGTTTGTTTTATTTCTATGGTATTTACCCCAACTGATATGGTTTCTTATTGTCTACCTATTACCATTGCCCCTGTCTGTTCAATGCTTATCCTCATGTTATATTTCTCACACTTTGTATTGACTTGGTTTACATGATTCTGTAAACTCTCTTATGTTTCAGCTATTAATACTTGGTCATCTGCAAATAACAATGTTGAGATATCATCCTTTTTTTCACCCTCAGCTTCTTTGCAAATATTGTCGACGTACGTTGTAAAAAGCAGGGGAGATAACACAACGTCCCTGTCTTACTCCTGAATTTACTTCAAAAGGTTGTGGCGGACCTTTTTTGAAGAAGTATTTCCTTGTTTATCAAAAGATTTATCTTGACCAATAGAAGCTAAATCATTTGGTTATTGTATTCATTAGTCTATTCACTGATCTGCTGTATCTAGGCATTTGAATTTCTAGGTCCTATAATAAACTGCAATGGAGACTATTGAAAAGATGTAATAGGAGAATGGCCATAGATGGGTCTTAGTGACAGTGTTGGAGCTGTGGTTGCACAGGTATTGTGAGATTGGGCCACGAGGCCAGGATGCTGGTTTGTGAGTGTGAGGTCCCGGAAAGAGGGTAGCAATTTTAAACGTATCTCGGGAGCAGTCAGGCTTGGGTCGAGAATGCGGACCATTCCAATATTTATATTGGTGACTATATGAGGTGACTAATAAATATTTGTGTGATCACTCAGCCAGTTATGTGTATGTTGTGTTCGTAAGCATATACTTTGTCAGGGAGGAGCCAAATGATTATCACTGTGCATCCCTTTAAAGTAGAGTGATGTATAGCTCCAGGACATAGCAATGCAAAGATTAAACAGCATTAAAAGCCTATGGATAAGCATAAGCAATCAAACTGAAGTCAAGATTTCGAGAGCATGCATCTTCCGTATAGCAACGTAAAGGAAAATGCCGGACTTTTGAGCTGAAATGCCACAGACAAGTTCTTAGAATACCATAAACCAAGGAAAAGATGAGGAAACATTCTAAAAGATCTGACACTGAGGAAAACTGGCTCATAAACAGTATATTGTCTTGGAAAAGGAATTACTTTGGCTATATCAATGGCTTGGAAGGAACAGTAATAGAGGGCATAGAACCAGGGAAGAGAGGCAGAGGCTGACCAGCACAAAGGTAAGCGCAGAACCTTGCGCATGGGGTGGGAGAGTTGACAAGGGACCGCCACAGAGATAAATAAAAATGGTATTGTCAATGTTTAAAAGTTCTGCTTACCATTTGCAGGAAAAGTAGTTGGGTAATGCTGGATTTTGCTGACAAAGCTCTTCTTCTGGAGCGGTGTTGAGTTGCTGCGATTAGTCATTCTTGACTGGTTCATCCTGTGTGATCACAAATGAACTGCAGCATGAGAAGAACTGAATTACTTTATAATCTTGTCAGAAGCATGGGCTTCAGAAATTGTCAGTCCTTTTACCACAGCTAATTGCTACTTTAAACTACTACTGTACTCAGTTAAAGTCAGACTAGTTGAGTTAGTTAGTCAACATGTCATCCTGACTGCACATTGAACCAGTCAGTCCATAAGTGCTTGGATCCCCTTTCTCTGCCAAAATCCTGCAGCATGTAGCACCAGTTCTGTGTAACTTATGCTTCTTCTTTGGCTTCCTGCCACACCTGCCTGTGTGGCAGCTGTTAATGCCCATACACTCCTGTGTCGTCATACAACAGACCAGTCTGTACATTAGCACATCTGCCTCATCTGAACTGCAACTGATAAATGCATGGACCTCTATATTGACAGCAACAGGATTCTGCTCTGGACAGTTCCTATCAAAAGCAACAACACAGGAGCAAGTGCAGTGAGTGCTAGAGGCAAGGTGGATGCCTGCAAAAATGCAGACTTACCTGAGAGACCATGCTCTGCTCTAGACAGTCATATTTTGCCCCTTTCCAAACTGCTGCTCCTTTACTGAAGAGCATGTGATTCAAAAGGTGATACAGACTTGAAATCTGACTTAGGCAAGGTTTGTGTAAGCCCTCCAATTCCTGATCCTGTGGTGCAGGCTTAGACAGTCAGGGACATGTATCACAATTCAGGCTAAGGACAGGGCACAACAGACTCCACCACCATCACAATTCAGGCTAAGGACAGGGCACAACAGACTCCACCACCATATCTTCAACTTGTTCAGTGTAGAGATTTGGAATGGTGTCCCTGCAGTGGAAAGCTGAAAATGCTGAGCATAAAATCAAACACTGTCATATGTATGTTGCTAACAGAGGCCATTTAGGCTGCTTCCACCCCAAGCAACACAAAGCTGTATGGTACATATGGATATTTGCACTGCACGATAGTTTTCCTCAGGGCTAATCGTCTACTGGTCTAAGTTTTCTGATAGATGGATCAAGGAAGAAGATCACAATACAGAGCTGAGTTCTGTCACTATCTTAACTCTTTCTATTCCAGGTCAAGCATCATGAGGTAAATGTGATCGGCCATGTTTCACAGACAGCACCATGCACGTAGCCATCTTGTGGAACATAAAATACAGGAGGCCAGGTTTTGAATCTCTCACTTGCACAGAAAATAGGCAAGATTTCAGATTTCAACTGTGGCTTTGTTTTTCACTTGTCTCATTACTTGTTAATATTTCAAATAATATTCACCTTGCCTGTGTTGCTTCTGCTTCATCTTTATCATCTCGAAGTCTCTTATTGATATCTCTGAGGAAATAACAAAAAATTAGTCACTAGCAGTGTAATGAAAATGAACAGAAATACAAAATAGTCTGGTTTTGTGTAAATATAATTAGCTTCACTTCATCTTGGATAAACTGACTTATGATCTGTCAACATCTGAAGGTATCATAGCACCACAGGATTTCAAACACCAACTCTTGTCTTTTTTCCTGGTGGTATTTTTACTGTACTAATTATTTAAGGACACTGAACTAGTGTAGTGGCTAGATGCTTGAGTGTCAGCCTGAAGGTCTGAAGTTTATAATTGATCCAAGGCTCCTAGATTAACTGTCAGCCTGAAGGTCTGAAGTTTATAATTGATCCAAGGCTCCTAGATTAACTGTCAGCCTGAAGGTCTGAAGTTTATAATTGATCCAAGGCTCCTAGATTAACTCAGACTAAATTGGATATTAGAAAATAGCACCTTCATCATATAACCCATTTTAGCTGATTTATCAGTAAAACTATGGGTCTAGCACCGTAAACCAAATACATCAACAGCATGGAAAGGCTAACATAGTTACTCATTTAAATTATTCATAACAGTTCCTATAAAACAGGGTTTTACAGCAAATCTTTGGACCCATCAAAGATTCAAGCAGCAGGGAATGGAGAGTGAGAAGTAACAAAGAAATTCACAGTATGTTTAGATCACCACTGATCACTAGCATGATTGAGGCTAATAGACTGAAAAAGCTGGGGCATACTGAGAGAATGTCAAATGACAGAGAGGTAAAAACTATACACAAGGGAACTGAATGGTCATAGACCACGAGGCTGACCAAGAAGTCGATGGAGAGATAATATCCAAACAGACCTACACACACGTGGTGTCGCCAAATGCAAAGAGAAAGCCAATCAGAGAGATGAATGGAGGTGAGTGATATCTGCTTCAATAAACCTCAAGGGCTAGGAATGCTCAAGAAGACAACTCATATACCTAGTGGCAAAGTTCTTCATTGTCAGTTCTTCTATTGTCTTGTACTGTTGTGTATTCAGCTTTACAGTGTTGTTTATTTTTGGTTAACTTTTTTTCCCCTTCAATTTAGCTTTCTTTTAATAAGCTATATACAGTTTGGTATATTTGTTGTCCAGCTACTAATTGCATTTGTATGTAAAATAGAGCTATGATCGAGTTTCTAATCATTCTTAGAATCATATCATGCTCGTCTGGTTGCTAATTAGTCATAATTTATTCCAGCTTTTCCCCCCTCCCAGACTGCAGCCTCTAGGATTTACACCTCAAGGATGAAAATCAAACAGGTACATCACTGTGTGGGTTCTAGGTTCCCCCCCCCCCCCCCCCCACCTCCAACAAGCATGTCATAAAATATGACTAACTAGGGCTGTTATCTTTGAAGTTGGGAGTGCATCTGCCTGAGAGGCAAGGAACCAACAGTCTGCATACAAGTAAACTAGATCTGTAAAATAGATGTATATGCAAATCTCAGGTTCTGGAACAAGACTAAAGTCCAAAAGTGGGCAAACAATCAGAGCTTTCAACTGTAGTATACAGCCAGGGAATGCAAAGAAGGTCAAGAAGAAACTGGTGCATATCCTAGAAACCATTTGCACCTGTGTTACACAGTTATCCTGGGCCACCCTACATATGCACCTGTGTTACACAGTTATCCTGAGCCACCCTACACAGACAAATTAACCTGTAGACCAGGTAATTGCAGTAGGTCTTTTTGGATGACTACATTAAACAGGTATTTGACTGCTGGCTTAGTGGTCATGAGTTCCAGTATTGCATCAAGGTGGATTTTTAAAAACTGACCTTGGATTCCTAGTCAGCTCAGCATCAAAAGGGAACCGGATGATGTTCTAAATTTTCTGACTATTGTCTGAGAAAGTGGGGAAAATGGGGACTGATCATCTTATCAAATTACATCACAAAGTTATTAAATCTACCATAATCCGTGACGTGAGGAAAAATAATCACTACTGCCTATAAAGGTAACTTCAAATGTAGTATATAAAATCGGACTAGATGAATGACAAAAAATGATGAAAAACTTAGGCAGATTTCACTTAAACATTTACTAATGAAGATTTAATTAGCACAAAAAGATACAGCGAATGGTAGACTGTGGAATGAACAGGGAAGACCTCTAGAATAAAGAAATAAAGACATACTTGAGTATGGCCAGTTGGATTTGTAGACTGTCCTTTTGTGCAGCAACACTTTCTGAGAATGACACCACCGCTCTGTTAGAAAAACATAATGTATAAAAAGCTTAAAGAAGAATGTAGACGTGTGTGGTGGCAAACTCAGCTTGTAAATCAACAAGTTTAAAAATAGGTCAGTTACGTCTAGCAGCCAACACAGCAGCTGCTTTACTCAATGTAACAAATGATCAGGCTTGAATGATTTCCATTTAGTAGACAGAGAATGAGCTTGCTTTGCACATGGATCTGTTGCTGTTTTCAGCATTGTAGAGTAGCAGAAAGTGACTAATAAATGTGTTACAAGCTGTACTAGAACTGCTGTGGAAACCACTAAACTAATTGTAAGGCTTATGATAGCATTGTCATAAGTTATGATCATATGTATCATTGATATGCTCACTTTTGAAATGAAAAGGAGGATGAAAGACAATGCCAGAAGTGGTCATCATTTGATTCCCATAAGAAGCACTAGTAGTAGTTGTAATTTTTCAAAAATATCCTGTTCAACCCTCAGGGTTATAATTGGGATATACAGTGTTAGCTGAGTTCTCAGAGTATATAGTTGTTATTTAAAATGTATACATCATGAGTCTTGTGTCTTGTGTCATATTATGAGTCTTGTGTCCTGAGCACATTACTGTACGGCTGCGAATCCTGGACTCTCCATGCTCCACAGGAAAAAAGACTGAATACCTTCCATATGCGCTGTCTGAGACGCATCCTTGGTATATTATGGCGAGACCTTGTCTCCAACGAATGTGTGCTCACAAGAGCAAAAATACCATCAATGTATTGTATACTGAAGCACAGACGTCTGCGCTGGCTGGGACATGTCTCCCGCATGGAGGATGGTCGTATTCCAAAAGATCTATATGGTGAATTGGTAACTGGGAATAGACCTACAGGAAGGCCAAAGCTGCGCTATAAAGATGTATGCAAACGTGACCTAATAGATACCAACATAGGCACAGAGACATGGGAAAAATCAGCTGCAGATCGACTACTATGGAGACAGAAAGTGAAAGACGGACTGTCATATTTTGAAAGAAACCGAACACAACGAGCTGTGGAGAGGAGACACCTGAGAGTAAAACTGCCTCACAATGAGGGAGTATCTGCTTTTGTGTGTATCCTGTGTGGCAAAGGCTGCCATTCCCGCATCGGACTTTACAGTCACAGCAGATGCTGTTCCCAAAGCCAGCGGCACATCTCCATAGTCCCCCGGGACTGACGGATGCCATTATATGCCATTATATATCATGTAATTTTATGACCAAAATGAAATTTGTATTGTTTCACATTTTGCTTTGATTTGGGTTGAGATTGTGACAGAAATTGTATTATGAATAATTAGACAATCTTATCGTGTTATTAACATGGTGGATATATTGTTTCCTTAGAGTGCAATCATTGATTATTATCCTTGATTTGATCTTTAGGAGAAACTTCTTTTAAAATGCCATGGACATTCTTTGTCCTTTTATATACGGATAAAATATCAAACTACTCCTCAAATGATTGCTGATTGTTTGAATATTATTTAGGAGACAGTTTTCTGAAGGACTAGAAGAAGACAGATTTGTTCCTCATGCTTTGAGCAGTTAGCAACAACATGGACAACAATCTTCTTTTGATGGGACAAGAACGATTTGGGAAAACACAAGCTGTATCATTACTGGTGATGAAACATGGTGATTCAACTCAGATTTGGCCACCAAATTTTTAAAACAATTGAAATTCCCTTTGTAACGTCAAAATAGCTTAGCAATATATATATATATATACTCACACACATATATGTATATGTTGGTATAATTTTATTGGTACATATATACAAATATAAAAATTTGTTTGCCTAAATCAATTCCTGTGCCTTTGCCAGCTGTGATAAATATATTTAAACCATCTGACCCCCTACAAGCCAAAACCCTCAATGATAGATTACGAGCACAAAGACATAAGTAACATGTGCTCTGTAGTCAAACCTGTAATGATTGCACCAACTTCCAGCACTATATTTTAACTTTAAATCATCAGTCAACAGATCCTTTACAGAACATCGCTCTCTTCACAACATGCCTGAAAGTCTTTCTTTCTCCAGCCAGTTTTCCAGCCCTATGTGCTTTCATATCCAGTGTGTCTTCAATGTTTTGAAGAGGTCAGCCTTTGCCTCGCTTTCCGGAATGATACCATCCATCACCCTTCTTTCCAGTTCACCATGATGTTTAACATGGCCAAAATACTGTGTTTATGAGCCAATTCTCCTTGATGTTCACATCATACAGGATGTTGATGTGGTTCTTCTTCTTGGTCATGAATAGTTCATAGAAATATTATGCAACATGCAAGTAAGTTTAAGCAATTGTAATATTTCGTGCAGGAAGTCTAAGGGAGACAGAATAATTGCAGATTTTAAAACCAAGGAAAGACACAGATTATACAACGTTTTTATGTAATATATGTTATTCAAGTTCTAAAATTCTGGACATTGCAAAATACATATGCAGTACACAAAATAGAATACCATACTTTTGAAAGATAGTGGCTACTATAAAAAGTTTAATTTTTATAATTTTGGAGGAAATATATACATGGGGGGGGGGGGGGGGGGGGTGGGGTCTGGGAGGAACTAGCAAACAGGATAAAGTTTTTTAAGTTATACATTGAATTATTTTTGTTCACATATTAAATGTATTTTTATATTTAATTCTTAGAGGAAGAAGTCAGAAGCATTTCATTTCCCTGTCTCTACAAAATAACATTCATATTTATCTATACAGTTGTTTTTATAACTGACATATTCACACATACAAGAGTCATACAATATACATCCACGCACACACTCACACCCCCACCCACACACATGCATGCACATATATTGCCTTTGGAGTGTGAACTGTTAGGCTTTCACATATTCCAGGTCATGATATGTGAGGTGTGGTGGCCTGTTTTTCCCCTTCACAAACATGAACATGTACATATGTGCGAACGCACACACACACACCCACATATATGCATTCACACACACACACACATATTAAATAATGAACCTTTTTTTGCAGACTGTTGGTTCCTAACCTCTGAGGCAGATGCGCTCTGACTTAAAGGAAACACTTCTAATTTATTGCCTTTTACGACATGGTTGCTATGGGGGAAGGGGGGCAGTGAGTTAGACCCCCCTACCCCTGCCAAACAGAACCCCACGACCCATTAAGAAAATGTTAATTCAAACTGAAGTATTAAACAACCGTAATTGTGTGAACAGGGATAGTAGAAAATATGTTCATACAAATGATAAACTTCTTCTTCTTCAGCATCCAGAGACTTGAGGTTCATTGCTGCAGATATCCCCCATCTCCATTCATCTCTAAAGTTGGCCTTCTCTTTCTAGTTGGTGACACCAAGTGTTTGCAGGTCTGTCTGGACATTATCTCTCTATCTTCTTCTTGGTCTGCCTAATGATCTACGACCATTCATCTTACTTGTGTATACGTTTTTACTTCATCTGAAATTCTTTTAATATGCCCCAACCATTTCAGTATATTATCTCTCATGATGCCAGTTATCAGTGGTGATTTAAACAGATAATGAATTTCATTATTGCTTCTCACTCTCCCTTCACCGCTGTTTGCATCTTTGATGGGTCCAAAAATTCGTCGTAAGACTGTTTTCAAAAACCTGTAATAAGGCCTCATCTCTTTTAGTTATGCTCCACGTTTCAGAGCCATAAAAAAAACGACTGATCTAATTAACGTTTTATATATTTTGATCTTGGTGTTGCGAAGACAAACACTTTGACTTGAAGGGCATGGTATACTTTATTTCCGGATCGTATTCTTGACGTGTATGTGGCCAGAGTTTATATTCTTTCCTTGTCTAGTTATTATCATGTATTCTGTCTTATCTTGCTCGATAACTCCCATTTTCTGAGCTGGTTCTTTGAAGAGAGTCAGTGTTTGAACAGTCTCAAGGTCATTTTCTCCAACGATATCAATGTCATCTGCACATCCAAATATTCTTGTAGATTCTCCTATAGTGCACTCTTGTTTCAATTTCGTTATAATTTTCTCCAGGGCCAAGTTGAAAAGAAGTGGGGACAGAGCATCACCTTGCCTTTATCTACTACCATATTACTAATGTCTTCCATACATAGTTTGGTCATGGTAATTAACTTCTTTTGGTATTCCAAAGTCCTTCATAGCATTCCATAAACTGTTTCTATGCACACTTTCATACCCTTTTTTAAAATCCACAAAAACATCATACACATCTCTTCTATATTCCCAGATCTGCTCTGCTATTTGCCGTAAAATGAAAATCTGATCTATCGTTGATCTGTTCTGCCGGAAACCTGCTTGTTTCTGATAAATGATAAACTAGAGGATTAAAAAAAAATTGGCTTTTGTTTTTAATTTAAAATATGTATAAGGAAATGTACTGGGAAGTTTAAAAAAAAAAAAAACGTGTGACATCAACAATATCCCTCACTGATTCCTCAATTGTCCCAACAAATATGGGGTTAGTCCAAGAACTTATCATCACGAGATAAGGGCCATATATTTATACTTTTACTTTGATAATTTCTGATGGACCATTTTTTTTCTCTTAGGCTGCTTCACGATGGCATCTGTGACCAGATTAACTGCATCCTGGATGTTAATTCAGTGGGATAGATCCCAAACATCCCTTTTCAACATACTAATATGTTATAATTAGAGCACTGGTGAGGCTATACAGGGTTCACTCTGCTATCCTGGGTGGGTATGGGCAGATAAAAGTAAGGGGCCCTTGTCATGCCACTTGTATGCTTCATATTTTTACAGACCATCTGGCACTTGGCTTGTGACAGGCACTTGGCTTGTGACAGGCACTTGGCTTGTGACAGGCACTTGGCTTGTGACAGGCACTTGGCTTGTGACAGGCACTTGGCTTGTGACAGGCACTTGGCTTGTGACAGGGTCAACATCTTGTGGCCACCTCTACTTCCCATAACATTTTCTGGTATCCATTTTAACCTTGGTCGATCTGGAAGCCAAGGTCAATTTTGAAACAAATCTGACTCTGTGCCGATTTGAACCCAAGACCTTCAGACCAGCATCTAGCCATTACACTACTGCAGCTCTCATAAGGAAAGGTGAATGTGATAATTAATTGTGACAATTAATGTTAGTAAAATCAGATACAGTTGTGCTCTCTGTAATAAATAATTTGTGATATACTGATACATTTCAAACAAGGCTGTAGCAAAAGCAAATATCAGAGCAGTAATATACATTCTAAAAATTCCACAACCATTTACTGCCTTGGTAAGCACAATATGTTTGTAATATTAAAGTACTATTTTCAGTTGACATGACTGAAAGCTACTGGTACATTGTGCAGGAAGCTACAGATCTGTATACCTTCGACCTTCCAAAATCCTCAGTTTCTCACGTTGAAGGTCTTGATGAAAGGTTTTCATATAATTGCTATCACTGCTAAGGTTCAGAAGATCATCACATGATCTTTGAGCAGATAGAGAAATAAAATACAAAAACTGCAACTGGCTACTCAGAGATGGCAGAAAACTGATAACCACTTTCTAATTATAATAATATTGTGAAGCAGATATCTTAACTATTTCTTATGCTGACCGAATAAATGCTTCATAAAATTTGTGAATGTAAACATGAGCAAATTGTGTACATAAAGTCCCCTGTGTCGGTTCCAGGGCCCTATTGTGGGGAAAACAAGAATAGACCCACTGCCTCATCAACAAGCAGTCATAGCAGTCGACTAAATGGAGCTTCCTTCAAAGTTGGAGTGCATCTGCCCAAGCGGTAAGAAACAACCAACTGCACACAAATTAGCTAGTAAAACGGATGTACACACAAAACTCAGGCCCTGGCACAAAGTAAAGTTCAAATGGATGAACAACCAGTACTTCCCACTGAAGCTCATAACCGGTGAACAAAGAAGAAGTGTAAATAAAGTTAATTTTGAAGAGAATCAGGGAGAAACCAAAAGAGAAAATGTCTGGCGTAACGGCATGAAAGAACATTCGAAGTGGAACATTTGAAGTAGAACATTTGATTCAGATGTAATAAAATACCACTGAAGCTTCAAGTCTTTCAATCCCAGGGGGATCTCACAGCAAATGGCTAAAGTAATGAATGATCACTAAAAAAAAGTCACGAATGCACAACATTCAAAAAGGCAAATTACACATAGCCAGTATGGAAGCCAGATTTAAATAGGATGCTGTGTCCAATAGCAAAATGGTAGTGAACACATTATACGATAGCTGAGATTGATTTATGTAGAAAAGTCTTATTATGCATCACATGCTGCATGCGACTGAAAGAGTTAATTCTAGAGATCTGCCAGCTGAATGTAACCCTCAATAATTAAACTGCATTTAAAAAAAAGTGGGAAAAACATCAGTTGATGAACTGCTTTGGTTTCTTCTAAAAAGTACAACTCATTAGCTATTGCTAGGACCATTTTTATAGGCCAGTTTGCACTTGATAAGTGGTCTAGTCAACATATTGACTTCTGCCTTTAGTTAGTTAGTTAGTCAACAGATTATCCTCAATGCACATTTAACCATCGAGTCCATAAGTGCTGGATCCCCTCCTTAGTTAATCCCGCAGCGTGTAGCGACTCACAACACCAGCTCTGTGTGGTTTCTTATTCTTCCAAACTGCCTACATAGTGCTCTTGTCTGGCCACACCCCATTTAACATGTTGTTCTTGCAGTTTTGTCATGGTTGCAGATTCACTGTCATCACTTGGTCTTAGTTCTCATAGAGCATTCAGTCAGAATATCAGCATGGTCCAAGGCTTGTCAGCCCTCCACAGTTGCTTTGCCGGCAAGCCGATCAGCTTGCTCATCAGCTTGCTTTACACACCATGACCTTTTTCCTGATAAACAAGCTATGAATGGGAAGCTGTTCTCTTTCACTGATCTCTGATCATGTGTTTAATCCACTGTGGGCCATAAACTGGAATGTCATCTCAAGGTCTCTTAGTTTTCCCCAAAGCTTAGTTGTCAGATCTGCTGGATGTGGCTGCATGTTGAATTGCGTCTCTCCCAGGAGAGGACAGTCTTGTGACATGTTCGGGATTGTGTTCAGCATGAAGACACTGACAGAGAGCTGTTTGGCTTTTACATAATTTATATGAGCGTTTGTAGAGTCTGCAGTGTCTAGTGTGTACAAGAATCTGACTTGGTTAGTGTGTACAAGAATCTGACTTGGTTAGTGTGTACAAGAATCTGACTTGGTTAGTGTGTACAAGAATCTGACTTGGTTAGTGTGTACAATAATCTGACTTGGTTAGTGTGTACAAGAATCTGACTTGGTTAGTGTGTACAAGAATCTGACTTGGTTAGTGTGTACAAGAATCTGACTTGGTCTTTCATGTCTTGATCACTGAGGAAGGCTTGTTCATGGTTATAATCTGTGTCCGTTTTCCAATCTATTTTTGATTTTCTGTTAACAAGGGATTTGATTTCTGAACACACTAAAGAAATCTGAAAATGTAATTTTTATTCGCAAGGTCTGTATATTTAACTCTGTGGAAGCAGTACATTCATACTTTCTCGTTATTGTTAATTATTTTACATATAACAATTCCCAATTTCAAAACAAGTTAACCTCACCATAAAGTAAAAACATATTTCTGATGAATTAAAAAACCTCATCCTCTATTTATATAAAAAAAGTAAATTAATCAACACTAGCAATAAGCAATGTAAAAGTAATGTTAAAGAATAAAATCCAGTTTAAAAAAATGTTAATTTTGTAACCAACATCTGGCAAACATCTGAACACATTAAGTGATAAAACCGCTGTCAAAAGGCAAAAATGAACACATAAAGAAAGACAATTATTTATTGCCATCAATGTTTTGTCTAAATTTGTAAAGATCTTTAAATCACTTTTTTTGTCTGGGTATCAGAAATTATCACAGAAAGTTTCCTACTGGGTATGCATTACTGCATGGACTAAATGCCACAGATTATATTTTGTCTGCAATGAATCACTTTTTTAAATGTATATATTTTGTAGCTACTGTTTTGTCTTCCCATTATGATTTGTTCCTTCTTTACGCATGTATGTGCACACACACATATATACATACCCAGATAACCAATTTTTGCTGTACTTACACTCACACATCTCAAACGTGCGCACATAATCAGGCTTTATTGATACATACTCATGTGTGCACACACACAAACTTACACATAATCATGCTGTACTTATACACACACACGCACACGTAATGTACAAATGCTTGCACACACACACACAGAGACAAAACAGATGTACTGCTGCAAAATTTACTTTATTCATTTACTGAAGTGGTAGTTCATTCTTACAACACAATGCTCATCTTTGTCAGTCGAAACATGAATTTAATCACATGACAGCCACTTCATAAAATTAAAAACTTTTTATCCTTCACTTCCTACTTGCATATTAAGTGTGTCGTTAAGTTTTAAACAAAAATAGGTTTTTTCAGCTTTTAACTACAAATGTTAACTTTGCAACAAGAAAATAAGAGAAAACAAAACCATTGTTTACCTAGCTCTCTCCTTGGTTACCTCTTGTTGATGTATCTGTATCTGCTGGATGTACATTCTGGATGCTTCTAAAGTTTCCTGAGAGTGGCTAAGCAGGGCTTCCAACTCTTCTTTCTCCTAATTAGAAACAACATTTATTCACAACTGTTAAATTTGACAGGTAATTGTACTTTTATCATTGTATTCTGTTTAGTCTAGCAGTATCTTGTTCCATCCCTCAAGCATCATAACTGGGATATACATATGTGTTTAGTGTCTATTGTTGTTTCTGATACAGATGTAACCTCAATGAAATAAATATTGTTGGTCTACCCTCGATTCTCTTCCTTTCCGCCTTTCTTCTCATCAAGAGTCCAGTTTTTCTCAGAATGTGTTGAACATGGATTGCTTGTTCTAATGCTTGTATTTGTGTATTTTTGTTGGTTAGTTTTGTTCAAGATATCAAGTCTTATGTTTTACATATAACAAATATGGGTTGATTGTTCTAATAGATGTATTTGTGTATATTTTTTAGTTCATTTTATTCAAGATGTCAAGTCTTTTGTTTTACGAATAACAAATATGGGTTGATTGTTCTAATAGATGTATTTGTGTATATTTTTTAGTTCATTTTATTCAAGATGTCAAGTCTTTTGTTTTACGAATAACAAATATGGGTTGATTGTTCTAATGGATGTATTTATATTTTCATGGGGCAAATAACTTAATCATTTGGCCCAGAGAGCCAAAATTTCAACCCTGCCTTCCGTTTTTCAGAATTACGACTTTACCTAATCACCACTAGGCCTGTATAATGGCTTTTGTACTGTTTGTGACTATATAGTGTTTATGTACTACAGATATGATTCTTCTTCTTCTTCTTCTTCTTCACTTCCTCTTTTACCGCTGTGGGTGTCGAGGGAGATATAAGGTTCTGTTTCTAGCTCTTCTGGCTGCCTCGACCATAGGCACATCGTGCTGTTGTAGAGTTTCTCTGATGTTATCCTCCCATCTTGTTTTTGGTCTACCCCGTGCTCTACGTCCTTCTTCTCTTCCCATGTATGCTTTGTATGGTATGGTGTCACAAGGCATTCTCTCTAAGTGGGCAAACAGATATGATTACATTTACTAAAAGATACATTAAAGGAATTTTGTATGTGTATGTAAGAATTAATCACCATTTGGGAACATTACAGAGCCTAAAGAGGTGAGTACAACAAAGATGTGTAATATCACCTGATTTGATTTCATTATACAGTGAATATATAATGAGATTTATCATGGAAATGCCAGAAATTGTGGTTGGGAGTCATAACATAAACAACCTGAGTTAAGATGATGACACCGTCTTCATAGTGACAAGTCAGACAAAAACTACAGGAATTTATAGATGTGGTGGTGGTGGAAAGTAATAAAATGGGCCTCAGTTTAAATAATGGAAAGACAGAAGTAATGGTGACTTCCAAGAATAGTGTCTAAATGTATAATAAAAGTCAAAGGCATTATTCTAGGACAAGTACAAAAATGTAAGTATCTGAACACGTGGATAACATCAAATGGAAGATGTATCGCAGAGATAAAGAACAGAATAGGACAGACCAAAACTGCCTTGTATAAAATGAAGAATGTTTTATGCAATAAAGCCATGTCACTGGAGGTTAGGAAAAGCATTCTTGCAAGCTATATAGAGCCAGTTTTAACATACGGCTGTGAATCCTGGACAATAAATAAACAAGCCTGAACGATATCTTGAGGCTACAAAGATGTTTGTTTTAAAAGAAGAATCCTTAGGATTCCTTGGATGGCTAAAAAGAGACATCCAGATGTTTTGAAAGAGGCGAAGACAACTTATGACAAACATCAGAAAGTGACAGTCATCATTTTTGGTCATATTATGAGAAGAGGGAAAATGGAACATGTTATGACCACTGGAAAGTGTGGAAAGAGAGACAGAGAAAGTCAGAGTGAGAAGATTCTAGACAGCTTTTTGTCATGACATGGAAGGACGTCAACACACCAACAGATATACGCAGCTGCAGTTTGCAGATTTTGGAGAGGCATGATCACCGATGCCAGTCGGCAAGGCACTTGATGATTTAAAAAAAAAAAAAACATCCTTTCTGGTCACTGTGACATCATAATTGCCCCTTTTTCTGCATTCTGTGCCTTATCCATGTCATCAGAATAAAAATGCTTTTTTTCTTCCAAAGGGAATTATGCACCTCATTCTCTGCTTTGTTTGTTTTATTGATTACTTCCTTTCATGAATTGCTACATCAGTTGAGTTGCTGAGTTAATCCAGGAACCAACATCACAGCACATGGGGCATTTCCATAAGTGCTCCATCCCCATCTTCAGCAGCCAGCACAGAGTTCCAGTACCAGTGGTGCCAGTAGCATTATGATTATACAACCATCTTGCCTTTTATCTGAGCTTCGAGCATCGGCCAGATTTCCTCATCACTTCCTGCTGCATCACTCTTACCAGACAGTGATCCGTTTGCTCCTCTTAACTGTACTCCCACAAGGCCTTATCTACGTCTGCCTTATCATGCATCAATATTCCACCAAGTTGTGCAGAGCCAGCCTGTGTATACGAACATAATTGATGACGTGTGCAACTGCTGATCTGTTGGTGACTTCTGCTACCATCCATGATGAACTGTATTTCTAAAGTTGGACTGTTTGTGTTAGCACTTTGGATGGCTACCTTTTAATGCGTGCATATGCTAGTGCATATGCTGAGACGGCAGTCTGTCAATCTTTCCACAAGAGACTGTGATAAACATTCTTTGTGTTTTTCATTGGCACAGTAGCGGAGCAAAGATTGCATGACCTGTTTGCTATGAAGCTGAATCTAAGATTACCAGGTTACCAGATTACCAGGTTACCAGATTACAAACATCAGTTTAAAAATGTATAAAAATATTTGACATGGGAGCCATGATATGGCAGTGGCTAGCATGCTGCCTGTTTACTCCCAAGATTCTCAAATTGTTATTCTTCTTCTTCTTCTCCAGTTTCTTAGGGCAGTCAGAGGGACTATAAGGATGCGTTTCTTTCTAACTCAGTTTGTGAAAAGGTTATGTGTTTTAGATTCCTCTATGATGTATCATGCTATGTCATCCTATTCTTGGCTATCATATGCACGAAACGTTCTGATTAAACATGATTCTCTAGCAAACAGACAGCTGGTCCAAAAACTACATACATATACAGATTCAGACTATATGTTTAGGCATCAGCGTCATCTTCAGATCAAGATAGAAGATGTTATAAAAACTTCTCACGGGAACAATCATTAGAGGTACCTTAGTGTGATTACTGCATTAAAGCACTGAGCTTGCATGAAAATGCTCGATGTGCAGTGGCACTGCCTGTGATAACACCACTACATGTTTGGACACAAACGAGCCTTATTTGTCCCTGCCATCTATTATATAAATTACTTCTGAAACTGTTCTATTATATCAATTACTTTTGTAACTGTTCTATTATATCAATTACTTTTGTAACTGTTCTATTATATCAATTACTTTTGTAACTGTTCTATTATATCAATTACTTTTGTAACTGTTCTATTATATCAATTACTTTTGTAACTGTTCTATTATATCAATTCCTCTGTCACTTTGCCTTCCTTTTACTCATTGTTTCATCCAGTTAATCTGGATCCAATCTGGATGGCAGACGAACAAAGTAGTTTTCAGACACTCTGTTTAACCTCTATAGAAGTTATAATTATGGTACCTGTAATGGCTACATAGCCAGGTGTCACCTGCAGTCCTATGTGGGTAAGGGCACTTCAGCAAACTTCTAATTAATCACATTTTAAATATGCTTGTTGGGTGGCAGTAAGTTTATCCCCCCCCCCCCACTCTCTGCATGATGTCAGCATCACATCAGCCACCTTTACTTCCCAGGACTGTACTTCGTACCCACTCAAGGCTGGGGTGACCTGGGAGCCAAGGTCATTTTGGGGGAAAAGTTCGGACCCTGATAGGACCTGAACCCACAACCTTCATATCACAGGCGGGTGTCTAGCCTCTACACCACGGTGGCTCCCCATAAATGGATAGCTTAATTTTATTCATTTAAACTTTTTTTAAATCATAATTCAACCTTGAGCAATCGTTCATTCTCTTGTTTTGTGATCGTCTTTACTTTGTTCAGGGCATTCATTTGTGTTTCCAGCTGTGGATTGAAGCAAAAATGTATTTTTAATGTCACAAAGATCAAAACTAATTTCACTACCTGTGAGTTAATACACTGAAACAAGACGTGATATAAAGTGAAGTCAAAGTTAAAAAGTAAGCAAATTTAAAACCTATTATGAAAGGAAGCATAGCTAGTAAACAATATAAGGGTATTAAAAATATAACAGCTCTCTCTCCCCCACTCGTTGTACAGTCACACTCACGCATGCAAACTCAAACATACATACATAGGTAGGCAGGCAGGCAGGCACACACGCACGCACGCATGCACACACTTACATACACTAATGAATGCATGCACACACAGTATTTTTTTTTAAATCTTGTCAAAATGTGTTATTCACTCATATGAATATTTTAATATAATTTAAATAAACAGTTAAATATCATATTTAGATTCACAAGTCTTTCCAGTAGTGTTCTTTTGGGAAGTTTTTGTATTTGTAAAAGGTCCTTATTTGGACAACTTTTGTTTTTGTTCAGAAAGTGTAGCTGTCTAAAAATTGTTGGTATAGTTCCTAGTATATAGCAGGAGTGCCAAACCAAAGCTCTGTGACTGACATGTGATCATTTCAGAAACTTGAAGGCTTACGGACAAATGGTAAACTTGTTGGGAAAATAGGAAAGTAGTCAGGTATAACTGAAATGAAAAATAATGAACAAAAACAAAGAGAGAGATGGGGGGGGGGGGAGAGATGAATGGAAAAGAGATTGTACGGTCAATTGTTGCAAGACCTGGTTAATGCAGAAACTTTTTGTGGTCACTAACAAGATCCAATTTATAAATGCCCTGGCTTCTGTATTCAGCTCCACAAGCATAAAATGACTAAAAATGCCTCAAACTGAGTTGATGCAATGATTTGAGTCACTCATAATCTGGCTTACAAGAGGTTTCTTATCTCAAACAGGCAAGTTTACACAGATGCTAAATTTTCTTCTAACAGACACAAAAACTTGCACTTGTGTATTTTATTTTAACTCATTCAGAGCCGTCAAGACTCAGTAAAATTTACTCTGTTGGACAGACAGTGCTGAAGTCAGAAGTGCCTGGCACTAACAGAGTTAAATGACCACAGCACACTTTTTAAAAGAAACAAACAAAAAATGAAAAAAAGTTACTTCTTGCTGCTTTGTTAGAATATCATGCAGTTGTTTCTCTTTCTCTTCCAGCTGTGTGTCCAGCTGCCCTCTCATGTGCTTCTCTTTAACTGCTTTCTGTAAATATTTGCAACTGCATTTAAGGAAGATTGCTCAAGTTACATTTGATCAATACTGTAAATAGAAAATGAACAAAACTGAAGAATTAGTATTTTAAATAATTGCTTGGCAGATGTCTCAGTATCTCATTAGGTGCATTACTACTTGTTATAACAATATAATGAAGTATATAAAAGTGAATCATTTCCACTGAAATACATATAATAATATCTCCTCTAATCATGCTGCACATATCACCACAGGAAGTTCAGTTTAACCACATGGTTATCACAGAAATTGTACAATTACAACAAGTTCTTTTTGTTCACATAAAATGGGATTGTTCATTTTTATTGTCACAGCTTCTGCTATTTCATTAAAATAATGAAACAATAAACTGTACAATGAGAAATTGTTTCTATCCACATTAATTAAATTCACTAGAATAAACAATTTTGGATTAGTATTATATTTGACCAAGATTAAAAAAAAACAATATTAAAGGCAGTCCCTTTGCAAATATTGTCATTGGTGTGTAATGAGTTAGACGTTAACATATTGTAAGCCACACTATAATGACATATAACCAGTTGCATGCATTTTCTTTATCCGAAATTACCTGGAAAAGCATTTTCAGGCTGTAATGTTTGAGAGGCGCATAAAATAAAGAAGACAGTGGAGAGACAACATTCAGGAAAACCTAGAAGCACTTAGAATCAGCAAATAGAAAGAGAAGGTCATTTGCAGAGATGAATGGAGGTGGCTGAAATCTACAGCAGTTAACATTAACTCTTTCAGTCCCAGTGGGTTTAGCATCAGAGGCCCAAAGAGAACAACAAAGAAACATATAATCGGCGCATCTTGCATTCACTGGGCTTCTAGGCAGGAAGCTATAAACATCTGATGTGTTTGTTGGGACTGAAAGAGTTGAGGACTCGGAAGTAGGCCAGTAGGCCACAAAATATAATTTCATCTTTGCTATATGTGAACCTGGCCCCATGTCTTGACAAGCTTGTGAACTAACTATAATAACACCATGAATCCATGAACACAAACACACACAAAAATAAGAAGAAGTTGGAAAAGAATAGAGTATTGTAAACTGTTGACAAATTAAATCTACTTTACAAATGAAACAACAACAACAACAAAACAGCCAACGAGCTGGACATACACAAAAACATTTGCAGGCATGAACACAAAAACACATGCAGACGTGAACAAACAAACAATGATTTTTTAAAATAAAAATTAGTTACAGTAAAACAAGGAACTGTAACAAACTCACTTCTGTTAGTATCTTATCTCGCTCCTGCTTAATTTGTAGCTCCATCTCTTCATAGAGTCTTTTCACTTCCTCATCATGTCTAATACTTTTGCTATCAGAATCAAATATAAAAATGACATCAACATTCACAACTTATCACTTTCCTATGTATGTTCCTATATATTTTTGTATGTATGTCTGATTTATTTTCCCATTTTTGTTTTAAGTCTTAATATTCCATGTATCCTCCAAATCTCTGATTTGAAGTTCAGTCCTCCTCCTCCTTCTTCTCCTCCTCCTCCTTCTTCTTCTTCTGCTTCTCCTCCTCTTCCTTCTTCTTCTTCTTCTTCTTCTTCTTCTTCATGTTCACTGACTGTAAACTCAAGCAGAAAGTTCTTGTTATTTATCCACTTTTGTACTCTTCTCCCCCCCCCCCTTTTTTTTTTCTAGTTTTGTACGCACATTCATTTTAGAGATTTGGTATATCTGTATGTAGACTGTTGGTTCTTAACCTCTCACGTAGATGCACTCTCCTTGATGGAAAAGCCTCTAATTAAAAAACTTTTAAGACATGTTCATTAGGTGGCAGTAGGTCCAACCCCCCTCCACCCCCTAAATTAAGGCTCCCGAATCCACACAGGAAGTCTAGTTATCCAATCCTCTATCCATCAGCTTGACAGCTTAACCAACCACTTCTATACCTGATATTCAACCTCAAGAGTTAATTAACTCATGCTAATTCATCCAATGAGTTAAGTCTAAGTCAAAAAGAACTGAGAAACACTGATAAAACCTGGGTAGGTATGAAACAATTAAGAAACGTGTGATAAGCTGCTTTGAACTGAATAAGTTCACTTTTCACTTTAAGAAGACAAGGGAAAGAATTAGAAATAATAAGACACAAGAGAGAATATAAAAAATATAAATTATATAGTTCTCTCTCTCTCTCTCTCTCTCTCTTTCTCTCTCTCTCTCTCTCTCTCTCTCTCTCTTTCTTGTTGTATGTACCCCGCCAGGACATTACACAAGCGATAAACAAATGGTGACACAAAGTGCCATCATGCAGAAGAGGATCACCCGTGGAGAGGTCTCAGAAACTCCTTTCAGCCGTTAGACCATATTTATGGCTGGGCTATATTCAGGGCCCCCGGCAAAAGCCAGGGTGGGGGTATAAATAACGACAAATTGCATCCCACATGGGGGCGACTAACACTATAATTATATTGTTCACTAGTGGCGAAAAGAAATAAATTAAAACTATAGTGGGATAAAGGTGGCTGTGATATCTGCAAATCACATTGTTTGGGTTCAGGTGGGTGGCAGACCTGGCCACTGATGACATCCTTATTTAGGAGTGTTAGACCTGCTTGCCATAGTCACAGACAGTTCTTAAAGGTGGGGCGGGGTCATTATATGGTTAATACCTTCGTCATCCCTTTTAGGGGATGCAATTTTTCGTTTTTTGAAGCCCCACCCCGACTGCTGCCAGGAGCCGCAATTATAGCCTTATGGTTAAACGCGGTTTCCGGGACCTCTCCACGGGTGATCCTCATCCGCGTGGTGGCACTTTGTGTCACCGGGTGTTTATCGCTTGTGTGATGTCCTGTGGGGTATAATTTACTTACTTAGTTTATATGCTTCATAAGTCCTGTATTTATCGTCTAGACAAGGGTCGAAATTTTTCGTTATTTTAAAGCCCCATCCCGGATGTAGTCGGGGAATCTAATATAACCTAACGGTTGAACGGGTTATCTGGGGTCTCTTCGTGGGTGATCCTCATCAGCATTGTGGCATTTTATGTCACCGGGCGTTTATCGGTTGGTGGATATACCGGCGGGGTTAAATCTCATTCAATTATAAGGTAGTGATAATTATATGTTAGTGACAAATTCAAGCCTTGGGGTGTTTTGCTTTTGCCTTTTCTTTTAGTTCAGTGTGTCTTTTAAATCTTTTAGTGTTTCTGTGTGTTTAATACTCCAGTAAATGCATAAGCGACACTGCTAAACATTGTATATTTTAAACCGGATGACAACATGCAATACACATGTTTCATGGAAAGATTTGTTTTCCGCTTTCTAATTATGAGCCCCTAACACAAAGAACTGTAGTGTAGACGAAAAGAACCAAGCAAAACTACGACATAATTTTACACAGCCCGTTTGTTCTATCCATGTCTATCCTGCTTAATTTTGGTACTAGGAAACATTCCGGGAAGAAAAGGCGATCAATATGATGATAAACACAACCCTCATCGAGTACCAATCGATATATGCAAATATGAATCTAGCATGATGCTCCCAACACACACAGTAGTAGACTTCCAACACACACAGTAGTAGACTTCCAACACACACAGTAGTAGACTTCCAACACACACAGTAGTAGACAACACACACAGTAGTAGACTTCCAACACACACAGTAGTAGACTTCCAACACACACAGTAGTAGACAACACACACAGTAGTAGACTTCCAACACACACAGTAGTAGACTTCCAACACACACAGTAGTAGACTTCCAACACACACAGTAGTAGACTTCCAACACACACAGTAGTAGACTTCCAACACACACAGTAGTAAATTTCCAACACACACAGTAGTAGACTGCCAACACACACAGTAGTAGATTTCCAACACACACAGTAGTAGACTGCCAACACACACAGTAGTAGACTGCTAACACACACAGTAGTAGACTTCCAACACACACAGTAGTAGACTTCCAACACACACAGTAGTAGACTTCCAACACACACAGTAGTAGACTTCCAACACACACAGTAGTAGACTTCCAACACACACAGTAGTAGACTTCCAACACACACAGTAGTAGACTTCTAACACACACAGTAGTAGACTGCCAACACACACAGTAGTAGACTGCCAACACACACAGTAGTAGACTTCCAACACACACAGTAGTAGACTTCCAACACACACAGTAGTAGACTTCCAACACACACAGTAGTAGACTTCCAACACACACAGTAGTAGACTTCCAACACACACAGTAGTAGACTTCCAACACACACAGTAGTAGATTTCCAACACACACAGTAGTAGACTTCCAACACACACAGTAGTAGACTTCTAACACACACAGTAGTAGACTTTCAACACACACAGTAGTAGACTTCCAACACACACAGTAGTAGACTTCCAACACACACAGTAGTAGACTTCCAACACACACAGTAGTAGACTTCCAACACACACAGTAGTAGACTGGCAACTGACTACTAAGAATCGCTAAGAAAGACGTGAATACAGACATAAATCTATCTCCATGACAATGTTGGGTGACACACAAGCATACAAAGATTATGTAGAGGTTAACATTAAGCAATGTTTCATCTGTCGATACATACACACTACAACACTCGAAAAATCCAACTATGGAACCAAATCACGAGCCACCAACACTATTACACACTTGAGTAATACGTTACTTTGAAAAATAGTGCAGCTTGTGTGCAGTAGACCAGTTATTGTGCGACCCACGTAAGGTGGCTAGAGAAATGTGCGCTGTTCCTGCTTTCTGTTAGGCTTTATACAGGCGATGACCTAAATTTGGAGACAGCTTGTTTTCACAACAGGAGAAAGTTAAATGTAGTTTTCTGAGTTGTATGTAGACTTATCTATAGTTCAGAGCTACTCAACTTGTGGCCCGGGGGCCGAATCCAACCCGCGGAGGCCTAGCAAATGGTCCGCGGATTCTTGCCAAATTTTATTGCAACAATGATCTTTCTACGTTTATGTGCGGGACTTTTGTCCCTGACGAACCCTGTTTTCAACTGCTGTAGTTCCTTGTACATAGCGTGCAACCACAGTTGACGATCTCAGACAGCGACTATTTTAAAAAAGTCATAACTAAACTGCGAGAGAGGTGGTCCAATAGTTGGTACATGCCTGTAAATGGGGCCAAAACCACACACACCATTTTCAGTCTCTCTACCAAACCCCAGAAAGTTTCACTTAGATATGGCAGCCAGGCACTGATACATGATGACTCACCGTCATATTTAGGAGTAACCTTTGACTCAAGACTCACATGGAGAAAACAGATAGAAAAGACACAGAGCAAGGGACTCAAGAGAACACAACTGATGAGGAAGTTAGCTGGAACAGACTGGGGGGCAAACCTCAATGTCCTTAAGAGGACCTATACAGGCTATGTGCGGCCAACACTAGAATATGGAATAGCTGCTTGGGGCACAGCAGCTAAATCAAATTTTCAAAAAGTCTCAAAGATCCAAAACCATGCTCTCCGTATTATGACAGGGGCAATGCGCTCCACGCCCATATCAGATATGGAAACAGTTACTGGTCTCCATAATCTGGAAGATAGGAGAGACACAAAGATCCTCACCCAGCTCTCCAAATACCACCACTTTCAAGAACAACCCATGTACAGCCGACTGCAGAAACCCCAGAAGGCTAGACTAAAGAGAACTTGCTTTATTAAGAACGCAAATGCCAAGCTCGCTGTCCTTAAACTCCCTGCCATAATACCAAATGTTTCCACTTAAACCTTACAACGACTGCCCCCCGCTTGGCTTAGGGATAGCCTACCAACAGTCAGAAACCACTGTAAGAGGGGTCTCCTCCAAAAATCATCAATGAGCAGCACTGATATGAAATCAACTACAGAAGGAGAGATCAATATACTTTACCCACACCAGAGTTGGATTCGAGTGTATACAGATGGTTCAGCCAAGAGCAGTAAGTAGAGAGCAGAAGACGGAGGAGGAGGAAATTATACATAGAATGCCCAAAAATTGGTTTAAAAAATTAACCAGGCTGTACCAACAGGTTCATATTCCTCCAATTACAGAGTAGAGGCAGAAGCACTTCTAGCGGCATGTTCTTTCCTGAATGGACAACAGCACAGCAAATATAGCAGAGGTGGTCTTTCTGACTGATGCTATGTCAGTTCTAAACAAGCAATTGTTAACCCAAAAGACACTCAGTTTGTAGACTTGACGCAACAGCTGATTTACTTAGGCTCTTCAGTAGAACAATCTGTACTGCAGTGGATTCCAGGTCACTGTGGCTTGGAAGG